AATACATATTATTAATATCAGCTTCCAATCATTTATATTATATTAGGTTTATTGGCTATAGTGATTTTCCTAACATGAAATCTATTGTATTAATATTTTAGAATGGCTGTCAATCCAATCTTCTCTGGTCTATCTATCTATCTATCTCTGTGCCTCTCTCCGCCTTCACTATTTTATCGATAAACCTTATCACGAGAATCCTACGATAAAAAAGTTCTCAGTACCACGTATATAAACGTTACCATATACTGTTAGTTTAAAATACCGGCCTTGTACACTCTCATCTCTTTGAGATTTAAAAGTTTCGTCTTCGTTTTACTACTATCAGTCAATTAGTAGTACTATCGTATATTATTGATGCACAACTTGAATCGTTAGTGTCATTGACCCATATATTCACTTCCTTGTTCCTAATTCAGTTTTTATTTGACTGACTGTAAGCCCAAGCAACGGCATTCTATGTTTATAGATCTATAAAACAAATCCGATTATTTTTAAGTCAGATAATAGTACATAGAAGTAGAACCCAAGAAGCGCGCATCATCTTATTTAAGATTCGTATTTAAATGGATGTATATTTCACATTTCAGTGTTGATGTTCAACCCAGTACCTCTCACTCCATATGTCCAATGAGTTATCTACCGCAGTTAGTGAGCCCAAATAATCATTAGCTTGTACAATGAAAATGAGTTTTATTTCCATTTGTAATGGTACGAATCTTTCCGTTGTTGATATTCAAGACAACAATGGATCAGTCAGTCAATCATTTACAACGTAGAACTTCGTACGTACGTACATCAGTTTGAGTTGCCATACCACATTAGCACAGAGATGAAGTTGTCGATTCAAATCCCATAGTGGTAGAAGTAGTAAGAGTATAAGTATTATGTGAAAGATGAGGGTTTGAAGGTGTTATTCAAGGAGTATAATCCAGTGAAATAAATTTGGAAAGAGAAAAAGGATAGGGACATGAAGAATTCAGAGAATTAGAATTTGGGAGAACACAAAGAGTGTATGCACCTTCGCCATTGCAAACAACAATTGATCAGGGTTTTTTGACCATATTAAAACAATATTGAATCGATCCGTGCTTAGAATGTACGTATACTAACAAACATTGATCAAAACTTCAGTTTTTAATACCAACAACAGGAAAATTTAATGGGAAAATATTTATTTGTTTATTTAGTTTAATTTTCAGTTGTCACTTATACTACTTTTTATTAAGTAGTATTCCTTAAACCAGAATAAGTCCCAATCTACACAACAATAACTTAATTCTAATATACTCTTTATACGATGAATGCGATGTACACCACATTATGAAGTCGCTTTTTCTTCTTCTTTAGTCTAAAGTATATATTTTTAAGGTCTTCAAAACTATCTTAAATGTAATCAAGTCGTCTGTCAGCTCACAGAAGGAAGAAAAATGGGCTGTATTAGACAAACCTTTTTGACGGGGATATTGTAAGCTAATACAGGACATAAGCTTTTTTGGATCGTGTCTGAAGACTTCTACGGTTCTCATAAATATCATTGGTTGTTTTAAATAATCTCAAGGCTTATGGTATTTTTTTCAACCAATCAACACTTAAGAATCTTTAATTCGTTTATAGAAGCACTCTGATTAAACTGTAAATTAGTAAGTCCGGTAGATTTCTACATGTTAGTTATAATTTTGAGAGAAATGCTTGGATCGAAACTAATATTAGCTGTAACATTAAAAAGCGCTAAATAGTTGTTTTCTTGTTTGGAACTTATCATCTATTCTAATGTGGTGTGGCATCTTGAACAAGTATGTATGTGACAAGTTCTACTTTACATACAACTGACTGACTGATTCAAACTCATCAGCAGCACGTACCCACTATCTTGAGGTATTGTATTACAGTTTTGAATCAAAAGTTCCTGGTTCATATTTTTGTCTTCAACTGATTTGCGCTAATATGATTTTCATCCATTTTTATTTATGTATTGCCTACTGTTCTGGTTAACCTGGTCACAAGCTGTTTCCAGCACTTTGTAAGATGTTACATAACTGAAGGAAATAGATAAGAGATTCTGAACCTAGACTTTGTGCTAGATAACAGTGTTTACCAAGACTCACAGTCTCATAGGAAATGATGCTACCTGTTAGGGTTCCGACCGACATAACATCCTGATACTCTGTTAAGTAGCAAATTTTGTTGATTAATTTCAAATTTAAGCACTAGTTTTGCGTCGATTTAGTTTACATTATTTCTAAACAAGAGCACATAAAATGTGACTCATAGTTGTGTAAACAATATTTATTTAGTCACTGAGCTGTTTTTATCGAATAAACAACTTGTAAGTTGAATTTAAACCTCACCCCATCGCACAAGCAAGTGGCTATCAGGACTCAGTGGCCGAGTGGATAACGCGATGGCGTTTGAAGCGAGGGTACTGGGTTCGAGTGCCAGAGTGAACATCAACTCTGAGATGCAGGTACATCCAGCTGACGAGTCCCAAATAGGATGAAACGCGCGTCCTGGATTCCACTGCTAGCCACTATCCATCTCTGCTAACCATGCTTGTGAATTAAGGTATATCGAGGCAATACGCACAGTATGCACATATGCCAATTAGAGACTGACCAGTTGCAGTCCGAACAAATCGATGGGAAGATTCAAACAAACAATACTAAGTTGAATTTCAACTTGTAAAGGATTGTTTTTTTTTGCATTTCATATGTTTTTCAACTCTTATCTTGTCTGTACATATGGATGTGTGCGTTTGTGTGTACGAAATTTACTTACTACCTATAAATACAGACTCTCATATTAGTTTACAATTTTATCAACATGTCGCTTTCGATGTACTTTTAACAATTGTCAGTTTTACCTTAATGTCTAGTTAATATATACTTTTTTGATATTAATCTTGATCTCTGTGGTGTATTATTCTTCTAAATGTTGATAGCTCATATGAATCTACAAGGGTTTAAACTTTTTTGTATACAAAGTACATCATAATATGATGTAGATTTGCTTGTTAAAACATTGTACATTCTCTGATAGTATTAATCTGGATTAATATCTTGAAGAAGTCCAGACATGATTACCAGAGGAAATGTTAGAATTATTTAAATTTCAATCACTAAGATTATTTTAAATATAATTCTTTATACATAGTGTTTCTTTATGCACTCAATGCTCTGTTTCTGTCAAACTGTTAGTGAATACTTACATAAGGTAATTTTAATAGTAGAATTCATGATTCAATTGAAGCTAGAGTACCAAGGAAAACTTGGAAGCATTGGATGGCCGTTTCATCCTAGTGTGGGACTACTCAGCAGTGCCCATCCACGATCCCGCCCGTTAGTTTCGAACCTAGAATCTACCGGTCCCATGCAAGAACGCTTAACCTCTAGACCACTGAGCCGGCATCCAACGGTGTCAATGTCTAACTTCAACCAATGCACGAAATTCCATGATGGTCTAGCTTTAATTGGCTCATGAATTCAACTATTAAATTACTATAATATTCACAAAGCTCCTTTCTGATTAACTTCGCCAAGAATAAATCGATTTTGCATAATCAATAAGTGTACTGAAGTCTTGTACAGGTTTTGATATCGGTGAATCCAAAAAACAACAATATATAAATTTATCCATATGGATATAAATTATTCACCTATTGGAACCCTTATAAAGAGAGAAATAACTTTTTTGAGTCTCCACTTTGTTTCTAGTTAAAGTTAAGTTTCGGGGTTTCAGTTAAGATTATAGTTGACTTGTGTGTTATTTACAATCTATATGGATAAACTAAGTTCTTGGTGCGTTTAATACTGCTATTGTAAAATAAGTTTTCATATTCTACCTTTCTCTTTACATGTTATCAAATAAAAGACATTCACTTTTCAATTTAACGCCAAAACATAAATGACGTCTACTCAAGTTTAATAAGAGGTGTTCATAAATTATACTTTCACCTTATTTTTGTCGTGTTTCACTAATAAAATAAAGCTAATTAAACCACTATAGTGCCTTGATTTAAAATCTCTTACTGCTGTTAACTATTTATGTGTAGTACAATTCAGTCATTTAAAACAATTAGTCCCTTTGATAAATTTCAATAATACAATGAGAAGACAAAGTTTATCACAATTATGTGATATGTTTGTGTAAAACATTTCGAACAATCTGATCACACATATACTTGCTACGATATCTTTATATGAAAGATAAAAGATATACCTTATTATTCTTTGCTTCTGATTACCTTTTAATTTGTCTAGTTGACCTTTTATCTTTCATATAAAGATATCGTAACAAGTATATGTGTGGTCAGATTGTTCGAAATGTATTGTGCAAATAGTTTAATTAAACACATAAATATTGGTACAAGGAAGCACCAGATATATATTCGCCACACAAATCTCATTTAATTTGTGTGAGGGCTGTGATACTGCTCAGGTGCCCAAACTGAAGTAGGTGGTTTTCTTAGGGAGCCACACCTAGAGCATTTGACCTAAAGATCTGATCCACAAGACAGTGGAGCAACGTGAGGAGATATAGTCCCATGGTAGCCGGTGACTAACGATTGATTCATACGCCATCTGTTCCTTCAGGATACTGGAACCCATGTGCACCATTGGTTTGGAATGAGGGTTTTCCAACTCCCCTAAGTGGACACTCCACATCCACCAACCCGGTTAAAGCGGCGGACATTCGCATTTCATCCTCTCAATTTCGTAAACAACACCGGTGCCACGAGAAGGCAGTGAGTAGGACTTCCCTGTCAGACGCTATATACGCGTGGCCGTGTGAAAGCATTTGGAGAGGGAGAGCGTACCTTTGCATTTGGGGACAAATATATTACAATTCAGTTAGTTAATTGTTCAATACAACCTTTTTATCATGTATCAATTTACATAATCTCATGTAATTCGAATTTTATTCATGATTAACTATTTTAAAATTCACTAAATAATTCATAACTCTCTTACTTTCTTTTGTCCTTAATAATCATCTCATAGCTTTATTCTACAGCGCTGGTGGATTAGGTCCTGCTTGTGGATTTCTTGCTGGTGCTGGTTTCTTAAGTATTTACATTGATTCACCATTTATGTTGCCTGAAACTGGCTTAGACCGTAATAGTCCATTATGGCTTGGTGCTTGGTGGCTTGGTATGCTTGTCTGTGCTGCATTAACTTTCTTTGTGGCATTACCTGTGATATGTTTTCCTAAACAACTTGCAGTTGTTAAAAAAGGTGATAGCAATACAATTTCAAACGATGAAATCGAAGATGTAGATAAAGTAGGTTTTGTTCATCATTTTAATTTATAATTATTCGGTTTTGGATGTCACTGTTCCATGTCGATGACTTTCGGAAAATCGACATGGTTTAAGATAGAGCTTATTAGATTTTTGGGAAACTTTTGAAGCACAGTAAAGAATAGTCTGGATCTTAATTGAAAAATAAGTAAAAATTGTCTTTCTTTGGTTTCTACAATTCTCAAAACTGTAAGAAGTATCTTTTGTGCAACTACTCAGTGAAGTTGACACAATTTATAAACTAAACTATAAGAAATACCTCCTTCCTAATACAGATGGTATCTGAACGTACTTGATGTAATTCAGAGAACCTAATCAAGGGTGACTGAGAAGTCTTCTTTTACGGCAACTACATATCCTAATTGTAGCTTAAAACCCTAACTCTTAACATTCCTGAAGCACAACACCCTAACCCTAACACACGTAACCTTAACTTCTGATACTAATCAAGCTCTTGATTTCGAGCCCGGTAGGACTACACTATACTGATGGTGTTGAGTGACTCCTGGAGTGATCTTGAAGTGTCATGACCTGAATGCCGTATTTTTAACATTTTTATCCAAATGCTTTAACAGTAACAATCAGAATGCAGGTCCTGTAAACCACTACCTTTGCTGTAGCACAGTAGTTATTTATGTTCTTGCAATCCACTGAATTATCAAAACCATGATTTTTGCAGTTTTAACTTTGATCATGAAAAAGCGGTGACATTATTAATGGAGTTCTTTGTAGAGCATGTAGTGCACCGTAAAACAAACTCATTTCTGAAGTTTTTGATGATTGCTAGTTTAGAAGTTAGGGCGTAGTCAAACCAAAACGTAGCTTCGGTTCCCAAAGTTTTTGATTGTTGAACTGACCCATGTAGGAAGATGCGGACTACGTGGTTGGTGTCCACATGAATATCGCAACTACTGGTTGGATACGTTGTGTCAAATGCCTCAGGGTCCTTGATTTTACAAATTCACCGACATATAAACTAGCGAAATACTTAGCTAGGATATGACATATTTGTTAGTCATAGAATTTGGATCTTGTCTCTATCTACTCTGTTTATATCACATATAGTATTATTCCGACAAAAGTAATTTAAATGTTTTAATGTCATAACTACATATTTGATTATTTATAGTTTACCTACATGTCAATGTCTTTTAACAAATAAGTGATTATTGACTAAATAATAACTTTTAATAAGTTACACATTTACATACATTTACTCTTTTACACATTATATACTTATCACATTTTATTATTGACTTATGTTATACTACTTACTAAAGTCAACATCTGAATGAGAGGTTAGTGTAGATTTGATTTGATTGTTAAACATTATATATTTCTTTGATAATTTTGATTTTTAATTTTTTTATTGAGATCATGAACCGATCACTGTTAGACCACCATTGAAAACCTGGGAGTACTGGACGGCCGTCTGGTCCTAGTATGGGATACCTTAGCAGTGCGTATCCACGATCACACACGTGGGGATCGAACCCAAGACCTTCAGACTCATGCGCGAACACCTATTCTGTAGACCATTGAGCCGAGGAATCTAATGGTGTTAATATCTAACTTCAACCAATCCACAGTATTTTGCAATCTCAATAAAGACTTAATAATCTCCACAACCCTATACTGATAAATAATGTATTGAAAAATATTTTCTGGTTTTATTGTTACTACTATTATTATTGTCACTATCTCTGATTGAACGATGTTGGTATTGTGTTAATAAGAGTCAGACTTATGTATGGTCTTAGGTTTAGAATAGTTGTGCGGATAGCTTTTAGTGGTAAATTTCGTTTAACTCCGTCACCTATGTGAAGGACAATCATAGGATTATAGGAGTCACTTCTGATTTATTTGTTATAGCCTTAATATTAACTGTCAATCTGTTGTCATAACGTATATCGTCAGTCAGCTACAACGTACTACTTCTCAGGTACACCTTTCAATGACAGACACTGCCACAGAACCTCTCGGTCTACAGAGTCAAATGCTGCTTTCAAGTCAAGAAAAACTATCATTGTCGGACGCCGATAAGCGTGTCTGTACTCTAAAACTTGACGAATGGTGAATATGTGGTCGATACAGCCACGACCAGGTCTGAAGCCAGTCTGATTTTCTCGTGTTTGCAGTTCACGAGTCTTAGTTAGGCGCCCGATAATTATTGAGGCTAGTATTTTAGATGCTATATTGGTCAGACTAATCCCTCTATGGTTATCACAGGATGATTTTGACCCCTTCTTATATATTGGGACAATCAGTGATTGTGACCAGTCGGATGGGATTACATCCGTCTCCCAGATTTTAGCCAGAATATTAGTCAACCTAATCTCTAAAATCGGACCACCATATTTAAAGACCTCTGGAGCCAATCCATCTGGACCAGCTGCTCTTCCTCGTTTCAGATTACCTATAGCCTTTTGAACTTTAAGTAGGGTCGGGGGGCCTACTTCAATGTTCCATTCAGGTTTTCTAGGAATAGTGGGTAGTTGTGCAGTAGCTGAAGGCCAGCTAAACTGGTGTTCCGTCCATCGTTAGTCAGTTGCAGTCATTACATTAATTTTAACCTTAGATGAAGTTAAAATTTACTGTGTTTTCCTAAGTAGTTTATTCACATTTGATTTTCAACTTAGTTATCTCATGCATTGTGTATGACTTCTCGATTAGTTATGATCGTACTCGACTTGATCAGATCCTGAAACCGAACAAATATTTGTTCGATAACTTAATACCATCTTTATATCTTTTCATTCTAACCAATTTTTCCTCAAATACTGTCAGTAACTGCCATAAATAATGAACATGTTTAAGATTGAATTCGCACAACTGAACATATAATTTAACGATAATATCATTCATTTAATTGTTGTTTACTAGGAATAGGTTAATCTTGTTTTAAATTTCGTTTTCTTCCTATGTTTCATAGATCTGTTCCCCTACAATCCAATCTAATAATCATAATATATCCAATCTTAATACAAATAACAATAACGTGAATTTATCTTACGTAAAGTCGTCAGATAATTTGTCTAATATAAATAAACCATTTGAACAAACATCACCAACTACAACGGCCGTTTCGGCTACTGCAGTCGCAGGTGTTGAAACATTAACATCAAGTCATTTGCTTAATACACCATCACCAGGTAGTCGCAACGTTCAATATCCAAGTCTAGAAGAATTTAAACAACAACACCACTACCAACAGCAACGATTGCCTGAAATGAAGCAAAATCATGTTGATATACTTGAAACACCTAATTCTTCTACTACCATTACTTCTACTTCTCTTCATGTACCATCTCCGTATATCAGAGATGCTGTAGTTAGTGGTGATGGGACAGTTGTTAGCCCTTCAAATCAACAATTTCGTTTACATTCAAATATTGGCAGTGATCATCATGATTCTCTTGGTGGTTATACTGTCGACGTTGTTAATAATGGTATAGCTGGTAATGGAGATCAAACTGACAATTTAGGAAAATTCATGAAAACATCAGTGAATAATTCATTTTATGAAAATCAAACTAATCTGAAATCAAAAATAAAAGGTAGTAATTAAATTTGCTGTATATGATCGTACCTAATAGTTTTTGTGTGTTTATTTGTTCCGTTTGTCTTCTAGATTTTGTTTTGAGTATTTTGGGTTTCACGAATATAGATTTAGACTATGATCAATATATTAAGGATACTGACGTCATTCAACTAATGGTATGGACCAAGTAGAGTTAAATAAAGTGGTGTAATTGACCAAAGTACACACTCTTACGTTGAAGTTCCATTACTCATTAACTTTCCTAACCTGGTGACCGGATTATCTTAACACACTTGAATAACGATTAAAATCCTATCCTAAACAAGAGGAAACTGTAATAATTGGCTTCACATCATCAATTGACTAATCATCTTGTTTGTCATTAACTATGGCAAACTTCATTAAACAATCTAAAGTCCATGGGTCAGTTTTCTGAGATTAGCATGACAAATTAATTCCCTTGAGATTCAATGGGTTTTTTTTATTTTCCCTAGAATAGTGTAGCATTTTTTCTTTTGTGAAAACTTTTGATTTTGATTTAAAGTTAGATTGTATAAAGACGTTGATTACTACTTTAATGAAGTGAACTTTTCTCTGTTAATTGGTTTCTCTTCATCATAAAATCATTTCTTAAGTATGATTCAAAAAAAAATTGTACTTCTCTTTGAATTCTCTAAATCAACCAATTTAGTAAAAACGTTTCACTATTATCCCTATTTGGTTAGAGATTATATTGACTTTACGAGTTGATGTATTGTTGTTTCCTATCTTGATGACAGATGGGTAGAAGGGTTTGATTGATTGTTCAGCTTGATGTTATATTTATTGACTGATTCCCTTTTTAGTTGGGGTTAGCTACTTCACTAGTTTTTCGTTTTTTTTTCTGTTTAAAGTACACTTTTCCCCTAATAACTGGTCTATGATTAGCAAAGTTGAATAATCGTTATCAATTGATTATACGGGTGCTCGTTTCGTCCTTTTCGGAACTCATCAGCTAAGTATATCTTCGCAGTGGTCATATTTACATTGAGACCTCTTATAACCAGTCAGTCAGTCACAATGTAGAACTTCGTACGTACGTACGTACATCAGTTCGAGTTGCCATACCATATTAGCACAGAGATGCAGTTGTCGATTCAAATCCCATAGTGGTAGTGTTGTGAACAGAACACTAGTTGGGGACAATCGAATGTATTTAAGCAAAGATTACAGACTATCTCAATAAATTCTGATTACCAAACAATGAACAGTCAATTTGCAAATTAACAACCAATTGTTTCAATCTTCACTGTTTCTTCTCTAATTCCATTGCTCATGCATTTTCCAGACGATTGCGCTTCATTCCAGTTCTTTCGTCATCGGTCTTCTGCCAAAATACATTCTATGTCTGACCCACACCATATACTACTTATATGGATATAAGTAGACCACACCACACTCGTCCCCCCTTTAAAGCATTCGTTCATGCTGTGGTTCTGCTCGCCACGCCACTATCTTCTTTCACTGCAGTCTGTGCCAAACTCTCCGTCAGAATGTCGAGTCTGCGGCGCGCTGACCTCCATAGCTCCGTCGACCTGCCGGGGCACCAACATCCGCATCCACCCGGCACCTGGGACGTTCAACACCCGTACTCCACCGGCCTGCTGAGCCATCTACATCCGATGTCCGCCCAGCAGCCGCACGTCCCACTGCTCCTCTCCGTCGACAGCACCCGCTACAGCCAACGCCGCCCCGCCAGAACACTCCACTCGACGCCAACTCTCCGCACCGGACTGCCCCAACTAACACTTCAACTCCAGACCCGCAGCGGCGTCCGCAGAACAGCACCCTTCCTCCTCCCGGTTGGCAGCGACACCAAATGTTGTGAACAAAACACTAGTTGGGGACAATCGAATGTATTTAAGCAAAGATTACAGACTATCTCAATAAATTCTGATTACCAAACAATGAACAGTCAATTTGCAAATTAACAACCAATTGTTTCAATCTTCACTGTTTCTTCTCTAATTCCATTGCTCATGCATTTTCCAGACGATTGCGCTTCATTCCAGTTCTTTCGTCATCGGTCTTCTGCCAAAATACATTCTATATCTGACCCACACCATGTACTACTTATATGGATATAAGTAGACCACACCACACTCGTCCCCCCTTTAAAGCATTCGTTCATGCTGTGGTTCTGCTCGCCACGCCACTATCTTCTTTCACTGCAGTCTGTGCCAAACTCTCCGTCAGAATGTCGAGTCTGCGGCGCGCTGACCTCCATAGCTCCGTCGACCTGCCGGGGCACCAACATCCGCATCCACCCGGCACCTGGGACGTTCAACACCCGTACTCCACCGGCCTGCTGAGCCATCTACATCCGATGTCCGCCCAGCAGCCGCACGTCCCACTGCTCCTCTCCGTCGACAGCACCCGCTACAGCCAACGCCGCCCCGCCAGAACACTCCACTCGACGCCAACTCTCCGCACCGGACTGCCCCAACTAACACTTCAACTCCAGACCCGCAGCGGCGTCCGCAGAACAGCACCCTTCCTCCTCCCGGTTGGCAGCGACACCAAATGTTGTGAACAAAACACTAGTTGGGGACAATCGAATGTATTTAAGCAAAGATTACAGACTATCTCAATAAATTCTGATTACCAAACAATGAACAGTCAATTTGCAAATTAACAACCAATTGTTTCAATCTTCACTGTTTCTTCTCTAATTCCATTGCTCATGCATTTTCCAGACGATTGCGCTTCATTCCAGTTCTTTCGTCATCGGTCTTCTGCCAAAATACATTCTATGTCTGACCCACACCATATACTACTTATATGGATATAAGTAGACCACACCACACTCGTCCCCCCTTTAAAGCATTCGTTCATGCTGTGGTTCTGCTCGCCACGCCACTATCTTCTTTCACTGCAGTCTGTGCCAAACTCTCCGTCAGAATGTCGAGTCTGCGGCGCGCTGACCTCCATAGCTCCGTCGACCTGCCGGGGCACCAACATCCGCATCCACCCGGCACCTGGGACGTTCAACACCCGTACTCCACCGGCCTGCTGAGCCATCTACATCCGATGTCCGCCCAGCAGCCGCACGTCCCACTGCTCCTCTCCGTCGACAGCACCCGCTACAGCCAACGCCGCCCCGCCAGAACACTCCACTCGACGCCAACTCTCCGCACCGGACTGCCCCAACTAACACTTCAACTCCAGACCCGCAGCGGCGTCCGCAGAACAGCACCCTTCCTCCTCCCGGTTGGCAGCGACACCAAATGTTGTGAACAAAACACTAGTTGGGGACAATCGAATGTATTTAAGCAAAGATTACAGACTATCTCAATAAATTGTGATTACCAAACAATGAACAGTCAATTTGCAAATTAACAACCAATTGTTTCAATCTTCACTGTTTCTTCTCTAATTCCATTGCTCATGCATTTTCCAGACGATTGCGCTTCATTCCAGTTCTTTCGTCATCGGTCTTCTGCCAAAATACATTCTATGTCTGACCCACACCATATACTACTTATATGGATATAAGTAGACCACACCACACTCGTCCCCCCTTTAAAGCATTCGTTCATGCTGTGGTTCTGCTCGCCACGCCACTATCTTCTTTCACTGCAGTCTGTGCCAAACTCTCCGTCAGAATGTCGAGTCTGCGGCGCGCTGACCTCCATAGCTCCGTCGACCTGCCGGGGCACCAACATCCGCATCCACCCGGCACCTGGGACGTTCAACACCCGTACTCCACCGGCCTGCTGAGCCATCTACATCCGATGTCCGCCCAGCAGCCGCACGTCCCACTGCTCCTCTCCGTCGACAGCACCCGCTACAGCCAACGCCGCCCCGCCAGAACACTCCACTCGACGCCAACTCTCCGCACCGGACTGCCCCAACTAACACTTCAACTCCAGACCCGCAGCGGCGTCCGCAGAACAGCACCCTTCCTCCTCCCGGTTGGCAGCGACACCAAATGTTGTGAACAAAACACTAGTTGGGGACAATCGAATGTATTTAAGCAAAGATTACAGACTATCTCAATAAATTCTGATTACCAAACAATGAACAGTCAATTTGCAAATTAACAACCAATTGTTTCAATCTTCACTGTTTCTTCTCTAATTCCATTGCTCATGCATTTTCCAGACGATTGCGCTTCATTCCAGTTCTTTCGTCATCGGTCTTCTGCCAAAATACATTCTATGTCTGACCCACACCATATACTACTTATATGGATATAAGTAGACCACACCACACTCGTCCCCCCTTTAAAGCATTCGTTCATGCTGTGGTTCTGCTCGCCACGCCACTATCTTCTTTCACTGCAGTCTGTGCCAAACTCTCCGTCAGAATGTCGAGTCTGCGGCGCGCTGACCTCCATAGCTCCGTCGACCTGCCGGGGCACCAACATCCGCATCCACCCGGCACCTGGGACGTTCAACACCCGTACTCCACCGGCCTGCTGAGCCATCTACATCCGATGTCCGCCCAGCAGCCGCACGTCCCACTGCTCCTCTCCGTCGACAGCACCCGCTACAGCCAACGCCGCCCCGCCAGAACACTCCACTCGACGCCAACTCTCCGCACCGGACTGCCCCAACTAACACTTCAACTCCAGACCCGCAGCGGCGTCCGCAGAACAGCACCCTTCCTCCTCCCGGTTGGCAGCGACACCAAATGTTGTGAACAAAACACTAGTTGGGGACAATCGAATGTATTTAAGCAAAGATTACAGACTATCTCAATAAATTCTGATTACCAAACAATGAACAGTCAATTTGCAAATTAACAACCAATTGTTTCAATCTTCACTGTTTCTTCTCTAATTCCATTGCTCATGCATTTTCCAGACGATTGCGCTTCATTCCAGTTCTTTCGTCATCGGTCTTCTGCCAAAATACATTCTATGTCTGACCCACACCATATACTACTTATATGGATATAAGTAGACCACACCACACTCGTCCCCCCTTTAAAGCATTCGTTCATGCTGTGGTTCTGCTCGCCACGCCACTATCT